TATATATATATACACATACACACACACACACTGTTGCTTTTCTGGAGAGATGGAGTTTCTCTAAAAATAAAAAAATAATATTAAGTAGGTAAGGGTAAACCTATTCAGTCATCCATCCACCTAGTCCACTATCCTGTGTCTGTCTGTGACAAGTAGGGGATGCTGAAGGAGGCACGTATGAATAGTGGAAATACATGAGAATGGGATTTTCTTGGAATATCCCAGGAATAAATTTATCCAAAAGGTGTATGGACTTCCTCAGATTGACACTGCACCTGGATCATTGTGTTTAATAGCCTGTAGCATGCCTTAAATTCCAATTTTGAGATTTCCTAAATAGGTCTTTAGCTTTTTTAGAAACAATGCTTATTTTTATATAGGGCTGTTCCTTAAAGTAACAGTTATTGTATATCCTAAAGGGTAATCTTTAAAAGACAATTTAAATTCATTTAAATTAATTAGCCTTGCTTGGTTTTTTTTTGTGTTTTGTTTTCTCTTTTGCTCTGGAGTTGAACAGATATTTTTAATATAATCAAACCTTACAACTTAGTAAGCTGCATTGTGTCATAGGTCATTGTCTTAGAAGCTAAAGACAGAATTGGTGGCCGAGTGTGGGACGACAAGACATTCAAAGGAGTCACTGTTGGAAGAGGTGCACAAATTGTCAATGGATGTGTCAACAACCCTGTGGCACTAATGTGTGAGCAAGTGGGTTCCCTGCAGTGGTCTTGCACTATCACTAGTAAAAAAAAAAGTCATTAAAGCCAGATTCACGTGGCTGGGTAAGGGTGGGAGTCCTTTTTGGTGAGGATTTAAACACCATTCTGTGTTCTAAGTAAATGCTGCTGCTATTGTATCTTTGGTAACAGTTGGGGACAGAGAAGGGCTGTAGAGCGGTTTCGGGCACATTATGTAAAGAAAAACAAGGTGGCTCCAGCTTCAGAACTAGAAGAAACCACTTTTTTCCCCCTTTTCTGGAGCTACTAATGTAAAATGTCCCCAGCAAACCTCCTGAGAGCTGAGAAAGGCTTTACTGTGCGAGGCTATTGCTATGTTGCCATAATACATACTTGTACGATGGACTTGCCTTTGCTCAGCCTCTATATTTCTAGTTCAGTTCCACGCAAGTTAACATGAGTATGTCTAACAACTACTGATGCAAACACACTGCAGTTTGTTTCCTATTATTTGTTGGGTTGGGTTTTTTGGGTCAGGAAGCTGAATTTCTCCCAAGTGCAACCCGAGTATGGATTTTGTTCAGAGGCATGCAGAGCCAGCCCATGCGGTTTTAACTGTTCAGTGCTCTACACTGTTATGAGGAATTTTTAAAATTTTTTTAAATCATGTTTTAGTTATGAGGTGAGGAGCAATGACTTCTGAATACACCTTGGGTGCCCATCCCTTTGAGGTCATTCAGTGTCATCTTTCATTCAAAGTACAACTGTATCTTGAGATCAGCAGTGGTGACCAACAGCCTAGAGAGATGTGAGGATAAGTGAAAAACACTACCGTGCACCCTGAGTTACAAGGTCCTAGGAAGAAGTTAGCACTGTATTTGTGCTGTTTTCTCTAGACTGACTCTGTAGAACATCACAACATCTTTATTCTGATTTAGCTCTGTTGTGTGTCTGATGCAAGTTGTACAGGGAAAGCAAGATACTAGGTTTAATTCCAAATAATTTCTTTCTTCGCTTGTTGTTAATAGAATTGGTGGTAACTGGCAAGCAACATCCTGTCAATTCCTGAATGCAGGGACCTGTTTGGGCACCAGGCACCGGAAAGGTGTAGAAAAGAGCTGATTTTAATGGCAATTTAGAGAGTAAGGTGAGGTAGAAAAGAAGGAGTCTTGTTCAACATGTTTGACTACCAGACCAAACATCTCTGTACTAGCCCCTGGAAAGTTGGAGATGAGGTTTCTGGGAATTCCCAAAAAGAAAAGGATGCAAGAGTGGGGAAAAACTGTTTGTGGACAATTAACGGATAGAAGGATTGTTGATATTCCAGTTTTAGGAGAAAGAGTTTGAGTTAATCTGACTAATTATTTAAAGTTGTGGATGTTTTTAAATGGCATCACTTAAATCTGGGATTAAGGGATTCATCTTACTTTAAATAACTTTGAGCAGGCTAGACACTGCAGTTTTTCCATATTTAAAAAGCAATAAAATGTCTTTTTCTTAAGCTTGGCATTAAAATGCACAAACTAGGGGAGAAATGTGACTTGATCCAGGAAGGTGGAAGGATAACAGATCCCACTATTGATAAACGTATGGACTTTCATTTCAATGCCATCCTAGATGTCGTCTCTGAGTGGAGAAAAGATAAAACCCAACATCAAGATGTTCCTCTTGGTGGTAAGCGTGAGATGTATCGCAAAGTGAAGATGTTGGCTGTGTTCAGAGTTTTATATTAAATTGGCTTTTATGCTGAACATTTTTAGAAGCGTATGGCTGTACATCTGACCTTAAATCCACAGTGGTAACCTGGCTGTGTGGAGGACAAAGGGAGACTGACTATCGTGTACACATAGACCAAAACGTCACTTGTAACTTTTAAGGAAGCCTAATTTGAAGGCTTTTATAATACTGTATGACTCCTGATGTAGTATCTTGATTTCATAAGGCAGCTTTTCCAGTATAACCAGTGGCACTCGCAGTTCAAAAGACTTGCTTCTTCCTGAAGCAGGCCATGGCTAGCCATAACTCTTACACTTTTTGACTAATAAAGAGCCTGATCAAAGCCTTCTGCTGGCAAGAATAGTCCCATCTCCATTGGTAACGCCTCCCACCATGCTTACAGCATGCAAGCACATTCAACAACAAAAAATAAACTTGCTCAGAAATGTCTGCCTCCCCAATCTTTTCAGCATGGATGCTGTAAGACAGAATTAGCAACTCCTATGTTCTTCAGTGAACTTTGCATCATATTTCTCATCTCTTTGGCTTTGTAAAATTTAAGGAGGATTTATTTGGAAGGATTCCCAGTTATCTTAAGGTGTATTTTCCTTAAAATATTTTCAGCTGTATATTGATGACAGCTAAACAATTAATTTCTCTCCTGTCACAATCGGCTAGCCCAGATGTGCTGTTGCACAGTGTGTTTCTTTCTTTTTTCTTTGAAGTCATCTTAACCTCTTTTTTTCCCTGAAGCTATGAAGGCTTCTTGAAGATTACTAGGGAAACCTATGATTAAACAACAAAGTTGTATTTTATTACCAGAAAGACCCTGCATTTTTTTTTCCCCTCGATGAGAAGAAAAACATCTTTGTCCAAATTAGCAATAAGCTTGAAAAACTTGTGATCCAGAGAACAGCACATTGAAATGCAGTAGGGCTTCTGACCAGTTGTGATATATTCTTATTTTGAACATGTTCTTTCACAGAAAAAATACAAGAGATCTATAAAGCCTTTATTCAGGAGTCTGGTATCCAGTTCAGTGAGCTGGAAGAAAAAGTGCTACAGTTCCATCTCAGTAATTTGGAGTACGCCTGTGGCAGCAATCTCTCTCAGGTGAGTTTTGACAGCTGCGTTCTCAAGTGGTTGAGCTTCATAGAAAATAGGGTTGGAAGTAACACTGAGAAGCCATCTGATCGATCCTGTGGCCCCAAAGGAAGAATCAGCTATCCCTAACCTGTTCTTAAAAAGCACTGAGACGCAGACTCCAGCACTGCCCTAGGTAACCTGATGGGAGGTCATGACACGCTTCCAGCGAGATCCTCTTTCACATACAAGTTGGGAGTAGGTGGTGCAGTGGAGTAGGGCGTTTTGCCAAGATGCTGGGTGGTACGATTCACAGGAGAGTTACTCTTCCTCAGATGTCGTGTGTGACTTCTGCTTCTCAGTTCTGTGTTTAAAAACTGAGGTATTTCTCTACCTTGCTAGGTATCTTGAGAATAAATGCATTTAACTTCTGAAGTGTTCCAACACCCTGATGGTGGGCCCCAGTTCACCACTCCTAGGTATTCTGTTGACTATGTGATACTTGGCTTTCCTCGTGGCTTCACTTTTAACCAAGCGAGTTCAAGAAATATCCAAGTATGATGTTGTTTGCAGTGCGTTATTTACTTGGTCCTTTTGCTCAGATTAAAGATGTTTAGGGTCAATTGTATTACGGTGGTAGCACAGCTGATTGATTCGTGCGGATGCACAAATCTGAACTGAACTGAGAAGCACATCAGAACATAAAAAATCTGCAAGACAATGCTATACCAGGGCAGTCAATAGAAAATATTTTAATATGTCAAGCTTTCACCCTTCACGAGCACCCAGGGGAAATCAGGAAGATGCTAAAATCTATCTTGCCTTCAATTTTAAAATCAAAATATAAAGTAAACGCAACTGCAGTGACAGGAATTGGCATTTGAGTAGCAGTTTGAGAATTTTGCTTCAGAGTTTTCAGTGCTAAGTGGTGATTGCTTAGTGCAAATATCACTGTTGTACTAACTATGAGCGTGCAGGGGAGTAGAGGAGAAGGCCACTGAAAGCTATCATGGAAGAATCTCCAAAGTGATGGAAAAATTCCACTGAGATTTTTTTTGTATCTTATTTTCCGCTTCACGTTGAGAAATAGTTTATTGCCATTTTTATTTGAAGTCTTAATGCTGGAAATATCAGATTTCTTTGCTAAAGACAGAAAATTGAAATAAATACGCTGCATTCTGCCTGAATTTTTGTACTACTTTCCTTGTTTTCTCTACCAACCAGAGCTATAAATTACCTGCTAGCGACCAACCCGTATTACAGCATTTCTTAATTCAGCAATTCATATGTTGTGTAGTGGCCTTGGGTAAATAGGCAGTTTGCTGTTCTCAGTGTTGCCATGCATTCTGGTCATACACTTTTTTTTCTTTCCCCAGTTGTGATTGGAATTAGGGTGGCTTCTTCTAAACTGTGGGACTTTTGCTGGTACCCATGTCACCTCACCAGTAGAGACAGCTAGTTATGTTCTGTCCACAGGTATCTGCACGCTCATGGGACCACAATGAATTTTTTGCCCAGTTTGCTGGAGATCACACTCTTCTAACTGTGGGATATTCTACTGTGATTGATAAATTGGCAGAAGGGCTGGACATCCGGCTGAATTTCCCAGTGAGTCTGGAAAACATTGATGCAGTGCCTGTCTTGGATTGCTTTGAAGCACCCAATCATATCTTTGTATTCTTTGGACCTGGCAAATCTGTGCCAGTGATTATTTCAACTAGTCTTTAAGAAAAAACTTCAGCATTTCTGGAAATCCTCTTTAAGGACTTTCAGTACTTAAATATTATATGATATGATGAGCTTATATGTTAGAATCATGATGATTTTTCTTTTTCAGCTGCCAAGGAGGCTATTTTCTTTCAATATTTCTCTGGAAATTTGTGTTCTTCAATTTCTAGTTTGCATACTGGTGCTATATTAGCTATTCTTGTCTGAATTTGCATTGCATATGTTGGATTTTGTAGTATAGCCTTCAATTTGTCTTTCAATAGGTACAGAGTATTGACTATTCTGGTGAAGAAGTACAGGTCACTACTGCAGATGGAACAGTGTGGACAACACAAAAGGTACACAATATGCTTCAAGGTTAAGGATTTTAGGGAACACAAGAACAATATTGACCACAGTACATGTCCTTTTTGTCTTTGTTTGGTTTTCTTTTTCCCCTCCTTAGAAGACTATTTAGTTCATTTTCTCCCCACTCAAAGATGAAAACTCATATGTTCTAGTGACCCGTATTTGGATGTCCTAGAGCCTGTTTTTCATTAAGCATACTTGACTTTTGAGTACTATTTGACTTGAAGAACTAAGCACTATAAAGGTAGTACTAAAAATAAGAAGCAAATAGATTTTTATCTGCTCTTTGAAGTGACAGTTATGTTTTCTGGTTCCACTCCCTGCTCAGCTTTACCCCATTTAGCATGTCAATATGCCCTGTTAAAACTTTTCCCTTAGGTATGCAGGACTTGACAGCCCGAGTTTCTCAGTCTCCCTCTATCCCCACCTGCTTCATGCTGTGTAATTTAGCTTTTAGTAATTTTTAAAATGATATATCAACTTGATCAAGATTGGACTGACGTCAGCAGTGTTACTGAGAGTATTTTGAAGAGAAGGGATATGTGAAGGAAGAAAAAAACAAACAAAACAATGGCCAGCTCTCCTTTCAAAAAGACAGTTTGTTAATCTGGGAGCCATTGACTGTAATTTACAGGAGGTATTAAAAGTAGTAGCATGGTTAGCCGCTCTGATACAAGCAATTCAACAGACTACAACTTCAAACTGCAGGATCTGTTCTCACCTGAATGTAAGGCATGTGTTTCCCATTAACGGGGAGTAAAACCAGACACTAATCTGAAGATGTCTGGTGAGTATTATTCTGCATTTTACAAGAATAATCTCAGATAGTTAAGAGGATGCTGTGAGGCTTAAATGCATTATTCAGCTTTTGCTACTGTTGCGGTTGTAATGATTTCTTTCAGGTATTAGTGACTGTACCACTGGCCCTTCTGCAGAAAAACGCCATTCAGTTTAATCCTCCACTGTCAGAAAAAAAAATTAAAGCCATTAATAGTTTGGGAGCAGGAGTCATTGAGAAGGTCAGTAATTTCAGATTATATTTCCTTTTCTTTTCATAGAACTATTGGCTGCTTTATCCCTGTTGCTTTTGCTGTGTATTTCTCAGGATTTATTATGCATTTGGTTTTACTGTATACAGTAGCCCAGAAGAGCAAAATGCTATTTGGGATCACATGTATTTGTGTTTCTCAGATTTCCCAACTTAATGGGGTTTTTAAGAAATTGTTCGCAGAATCACTTCACAGCTTAAATGTTTTGTGCCTAACTTTTGAGCAAGCCTTCAAGATGGTCTTAGATCTTCCAGAATTCTAATAATATGCTTATTCCAGGTCCTTTTGACCTAATAAAATATATAAACTATTTCAAGAATACTGACAGTTGTGTATTTGTCCAGTGTAAAATCTTGTACCCTTTCCCAGTGCAAAAAGACAGCCTCTCCTGAAAAGACCCCTAGTAAAATGTATGCTTAGAACAGAAGTAATGCCAGAAACAGGATTATAACAAATTTAAAAGGCAAAGTTGAAATTTAAAGGCAAGGTTCAGACACCACCACACACAAGATGGGGATCCCTACGTTCTAAGTTAGGTTTGTAAAAATTCTGCTGAATTTCTTGAGCATTTTCCACAGTGAATTTGTCTGTGCAGTTGCCTTTTATGAGACTAGCATTTTTTTTTCCCTTTCCCTGTCCCTCTTGGAGAACAGGCCCAGCTATTTTCTCTTGAGACCCTCTCATGGGTGTCTCTAATCGAATGGAAAAGGGAAAAAGAATCAGAAGAAGAACATATACCACATCCAGTTATGAGTTGTGTGGTATGAAATTCTTTAATTCCATCTCTCTCTCGTGCTCTCTCTAGATTGCCTTGCAGTTCCCTTACAGATTCTGGGACAGTAAAATTCAAGGAGCTGATTTTTTTGGCCACGTTCCACCCAGTTCCAGCCAACGTGGGCTCTTCAGTGTTTTCTATGACATGGATCCTGAGGTATCACACACTAGCTGTTTTTTCTGTTGGCCCTTCACAAATTCAGTTTGGAACCTAGGTGCAACAATTTTTGAACAATGAAAGTTTTCTTCTTTCCCCCACCCCCACAACTGTTAAAAGAAGTGGAAGCAGTGTTATTTATCATGAGAAAGCTTACTGATACTTCCTTGTAATAAATGGGAATGTTTTCCTATGTTTGGATACAAAACAATATACAAGCAATTTTTTATTCTCAAACTATCCTGAAAACAAGTCTGTAATACCCGACTATAGATGTACTAATACAGGAAAAAGTTCACCAGTCACTTCCAGTTTAGGACTTCTGTTCCCTTATTTAAATCAGCTAAAAATCCTGTTAAAATGATCATGCTGGCTTATTAACACTTAATGGCTTGCACTAGCCTGAATAACTATGTGGAATGACAAAAGAAGAGACAAACACTAGGTTTTGTATGAAACTGAGGTCTGTAGGGTCGGTCCCAAACTCATGAATTTCAAAATGGATTCAAACCAGTGCACTGACATCATTTCTCCTCCCCGCCAGTTCCAGGCAGACACATTATACATTTCATGTTTTTACAACTGCTGCTTACTACCTGGCAGTAATTAAAAGGCCATTTTGTAACCTTACGGCTTACTCCAAAAGGAAACCATCCTGGGAAGATGGGGCTCTGTTACTACACTATCTGTACCTGTATATGATTTTCCTTAAACAAGGTTTCGCTTCAGTACTTTTAAGCTCATTCTACATGAGGTTCAGTTTGCTGGTGCCGTCCAGAGACATGATATACAATTCTTAATTTGCTTGATAGCTACTCTGCTAGCTATCAAGCTTAGTAACAGAAGAATTGCCTTATATAAACAAGAGAGGGAGAGTTCTGTAAAGGAGCTGAGAACCCGTGTGCTGTTCTACAGTCACTACTTCATCTTTGAAACTTCTGTGTGGTACCAGATTTCTCGAAGTGGAAGGAAACATCAGTAGAACTGAGCTTTCCTTTTTTTGGGCCAAAATCTGCTGGTAAGAATTTAGTATTGGCCTAATCCAAACCATATCTAACTAGTATTTAAAGACATTCTCTTTGTTACCACCTTTGGAAAGTGGAGTACAGTTGAGGCAGAGCTTAAGAGCCCTGTCACAAAGAATAGCACTATAAATGTCAGATCTTTTGGCCACAGCCTTTAAATAGGTAGATAGGAAGTTTTCAGTTAATTCAGCAAGTTGTAAAAGGGGCTGACACTAACACAGATCTGTGAACAAGACTCCAGAGGATGTTAGTAATTTGAGCATAAATACTGTAAAATATGCACCCTTTATTCTAAGGAATCAAACCCACTTTCCTCTAGAACAAAAGTTGCTTTCCAGCTGAAAATCTCTTTGTTAATTCCAATTAAAAGGGACTCTTCAAGCAATACTTAATCTAATAATTTTGAAGTTCTCACATGTTAATGTTTTGGTTTTAGGGCAAACAAAGCATTTTAATGTCAGTGGTCACTGGAGATGCTGTGACAACAATTAAGAATTTAGATGATAAACAAGTCCTGCAACAGTGTATGACTGTACTTAGAGAGCTGTTTAAGGAGCAGGTAAGAGAAGCCTCATTTTTTAAGAGATTAACTAATTTGCCAACAGACATAAAGCTTTTGATTGTATTACTTCATGATGTATAGGAAAACCTTTGACATTTTAAACTATTTTTCTTTTCTTGTCAGTTTGAGGGAATGTGCTTCCTTTGAGATACACTAAAAACACAGTGTTTGGTCCCTTGTGTGAAAAATGTGAATTGAAATATCTTAATCTGTCTGAAGGAAAAAGGTAATGAATTCAAAACCAGCAATGAACTATCATCCTTTAAAGTGCTTTTAGAAAGGAAATTTAATTAAAATCAGTACTTTAGGCAGGTAACACAAACACACTTCTTACTTAGCTGTCACTTTTTTTCCAAACAATCTTTTTTTTGTCATCACCGCTTCCAATACACGATAAAAGCTTTAAACTAGATGAATTTGATTATGATTTCTCCACCCCCATGTAAAAAGCAACTGAAATTACACCACCTCCAAACCAAACCCTTACTCTTCTGACAAGAAACAACCCTTCCTGAGCTGTCTTGAGATGGAGGTAGAGGCAAAATGATCTATCAAGGGCCCTACATCCTGACTGTAAGAAAGCATTTGATTAAAAAATTCTACCTTTTTTCCTTCCCCTGCTCATCATTAAGACAAAAACTAATAAGAAAACCAGAGAAATCTGGGGGAAGCAGAAGAGTTAGCCCTTAGCAATGTTATTTGCACTCCACTCTATAGACAATAACGCCATAGTTACATTATTCAGAGCAGTTAGATCCCAAGGAATGCCTGAGTTAATGTTCATGGGTGATCTCTCAAGTTTTACTGATAGTTCAGATGATAGGACTAATGTTCATGGAAAAATCAGCATCTGAAAGCTTGACTTTTCCTAGAAAACACACTTTGGGTAATGGCTTTACAGTTACCAGAGTCATTTGCAATCTAAGTCCACGTACCTGCTATTTTGATCTCTTAAGCATGTAGAGGGAGCAAACAGGTCTTTAGTTTTGGTGCCACTGTAGAAGAGTGATTTCCCATCTATCTCTGTGGGTTATGTGAATTTCGGCCATCTGTCCACAATGCAGCAGGATTTTCAAGGACAAGATGGCTTCCAGGGGTGTACTAGGACTTCTTCTGCAATGTCCATGAAGCTTGCCATACTTGGCTAGCCCTTGTCTTGGTTGCTTGGGCTTTAGTCTCTCATGTGCTGCCTGAATGGAATAGCCTATTTGTTGATCCCAGATGTTGTGTGAGAGGCAACCAGGGGCACTCCTGTTTACTTGCCATGAGCTCCGCAAGAGTAAGACACAGCTGTAGTTGACTAAGCCATCATACACTTGTTATCCAGGCTCTTTTTGGTAGAACTGCGTGGCATTTGCATGCTGTAATGTGACAAAGAACACACAGTATTACTGTCATGGCTTCGCTACAGACACTCTTGACTTTTTGTTTTCTCCTTGAACCTCGTTTTCAAGCCAGCTCATGTTCTGATCTTAGTCAAGTAATGTTATTTCTCCATTGGAATACAATTATCTCCAAAATGAAGATTACTTTTTTGAGATTTGACAAGCTAGAAATAGCAAAGCATCATGCCTTACCAAGATAAAAACTGCTTACATTATACACACAAACAAGTTGAATGATGTTGATATTGGTATTTGATCTGTTGCAAGAGTATCAATGTATTTTGGGGAGAATTTTTTTTCTCATGTGTAGTTCTAGGTATATTACAATATCCAGATTTGTTGCATTCAAAACAGTGCAGCTGTGATATTTCAGGCATGTCCCGCAAACAAAATTATCATTGTGGTTAGTAATATAATGAAGAAAATTGGAATTTAATTCTGGAATGTGATCTAATCTGTATCATAATAATGCTACATACTACATACTCTAGAGCTTTTCTCTGCAGCGCGTAACTTTTACTTTGATTATGCAGGAGGTTCCTGACCCAGTGAAGTTTTTTGTAACCCAATGGAGCAAAGACCCTTGGCTCCAGATGGCATATAGTTTTGTGAAAACTGGGGGCAGCGGTGAAGCTTATGACATCATAGCTGAAGACATACAAGGAAAAATTTTTTTTGCTGGTGAGGTAAGTATCTTATTACTGTTGATTAAGGTTATTGGGGAACTAGTTCCAATGAAAGATGGTCTTTTGCTAACCAACACCATTAATCTAGAGGTAGCATATAACATTCTTTACACAAATACACTAGTGTTTCTTGATTTTGGTACAGAATTCTCTTTATTCATGTTATTTGCTGGCTGCCAGGTATTTTAGGTCAGGAATGAACTGTGTAACCAGTAAATGCAGAACATGACAACACTGTACAGTCCACTTGTATTTTTGTCTTTCTGTTCCTCCATTTGTGGGTAACACAACAAGGGCACGCTGTTGATGGTGCAGGTGCATTCTGTACTGGAACAGAACCTAACCTGCCCCATTAAAGTGCAGATGGCAAAACAGACTACTGAGTTTGCTAGCTGACCTGCTTGCAAATTTTGAAGTTGCTAAAAATTGTAAATATTTCCTCCTGAATTCTAAGAAGTTTCCCATGGCTTTTAAAAATGTTGGTATATGCTTAAGGAAAACAAAACTGATCTTATAAACGGAAATTCTATCAGTTCTAATAGTTTTAGAAATAATTAACTTTTAAATTTTTTTTTTTATATACAGGCCACAAATAGGCACTTTCCTCAGACCGTTACAGGAGCTTACCTGAGTGGGGTTCGAGAAGCGAGCAAAATAGCAGCATTTTAAGTACTGAACTTCTGTGTTTATAGATATATTTTTTAAATTGCTTTCAGCGGGTAAAACTATCTTCAAGTTTCCTATTGCTGCCTTTTTCCTAAGTGGTACATAAATAGTATATGATACCTGAAGATAAAAATCTTCATCCTCCTTTTCCTCTTTTTCCCCCACCCCCCTTTTAAGCCCTGATGACTATACTGTTGGGGTTTTTTTCCAGCTAAGGTATTGCTAGCAAGAGTGACCAATATTGGAGTCCCTGGCCACAGCTTAATGAATGGAACTTTTGTTGAGAGTCCCCTTCCGTGTGGCTCAAGTCATGCTATTGTAAGCCTTCATTTCAGAAGGACAGGTTAAAACAAGAGTAAGTTAACATTCAGCATTAAAAATGCTGACAGTTAGTAGTGAAGATGGGAATTTTCCACTAACCGTGCTTCTCAGGTTGATTATGCTCATCGTTCAAACTTGCTCCCAGAAGCCCGAATAGCCTAGACAATGTCTAGAATTATTGTAGGAAGGAACTCAACTATTATTCTTTCCACTTGCAACCAATAGCCTTTTCTATAATATATTTCATATTCTTAGCCTCCACTAAGCGGGTTTTGGAATATCAAGTTTGTTCCTTGAAATCAGATGGCTGGAACAGTTTACAGTGCAATCATAGAAAGGTTATTGTTGCTGATAAAAACTTGAAAAATTAACTTTTACATTACTTTAAAAAACTTTGAAATATTCTCTCTGCTACTTATTCAGAGAAAGTCTTGTTACAATAGTAAGCGAAGTTTAGATTTGCTTAGTGCTTCTGATCATGTAGAAACAGGACAGCTTAAAAATACTGTATTTCTATGACTATTTTGAAAACAAACTTCCAAATTCATTTGGGCTGAGTAGAGGAACTATCTACTGCTATGAGTGCACAGTGGGGGGGTGAAGGACTGTAAGTTCCGAATGGCTCATTCAGCTTTTATATTTAAAAAATAAGTGAAGATGAATGAGGAAAAATATTAACATTTTATGAAGGGCTGAAACAAGGTAGCTTGCACTTTGACTTGAATTTTTTTTTTTCTTTTATTATTAAAGTATTATTAAAAATGACTTGAGGGAGTAATTCAGTAAGGGCTAAGCATCTATCTAATAGCTTTTCCATAGGACACGGAAGAAAATATTTTTCAACAGAAATAAGACAGACAACCAGGATATCTGTTGTAATACTGTTCCACTAAAATGGTATTAATGAAAAAAACCCAAAATATTAAAACCAACTTTTAGATCTCTTCCCCTACACTTTCCCTAGAACTTTACTGCATAGACCTTGTAATTTCTGGAAGGAAAGTAAGCACTTATTCTCCCCCCTCCCATTCACATGCATAGGCTCTTTTATTTTTTAATCTCTTCATTTAAGAATGACATAGCAAACTTTTTTTGAGTTACAGTGCTTATTTCCATAAAGCTGTATCCTTGGGGAAAAAAAAACAACAAGCAACCATTTTTTTTCTGAATAAACGCAATTCTTCTTCGGAAATACATAATATTTTGGGTTTAGATTAGCTATGATATTGTTAAATACCTTTATTTAATCTCTAATTTACAAGGTAAAGATGTTTATATAACTAGATGTTTTTCAGATATATATTCTGTTCTGCTTCTTAAAGCTGAATTATATGGATTAATAGGAAAAGTGTAACTGTTCATAACTTTCCTCTACATAAATGCTAGTATGTACAGTTTTAAAGTATTTCCAAGTATTGTAATTTAAAGGCTATAAGAAGCAAGACAAGATCCTCTGATGATAAAAGATAATCAGACATCAGATTTTGCTTTTGGTAACCATTTGCACTTTGTTAACAATTTAATATATTACAGGCCAAGTTATAGTGTAACTAGGAAAGAATTAAGAGCTGCAGATGTGTTTGAGTTCCAAGTTTCTTTCCCAGTTTATCATACATGACAAAATTATTAGGAGAGGAGCTTCTGAAGGTGGGAATAACAAGCCCAAAACATGGCGTTCACTGGCTGCTTCAGCTGACCTTGGTCAAAACTTCAGTCAGCTTTATAACAACATACAAACACATCCCATGTTAGGTAGGAATTGTCTGGGAAGTTGAGCTCAGCATCTACTTCTGCAGCCCGAAGTTTGTGCGAACGTGCTTGATTCTAGGCATATGCTTCCATCCTGTTAATTTGTACTTGGGGTTTTAAATCCATCTGCAACTTTCCAGGTAGATAAGTGCTATATTCTAAAGAATAGATGGACAGGAACAAATACTGCACACTTCTTACAGCATTAAAAAAAGGATAACAAAGGATAAATTTACCGAGGGCCTAGTCTAGTAATTATTTGTATATTATTTTGGTACCAAGGCACTTACACTGTGTTGTGCTGCACTTAAGTTTGAGAAGTAAATAAAATAAGTATGTTCCATTTTAATTTACATTCATTTGAAATGTTTAAGAACATCAGGCTGGTTCTGAGACTTCATTCTTTAATTAATGTTCCCCAAAAATTTTTTTAATACCTCTGTTAAAATTTATTTCAAGCATGTATGTGGTTTTTTTGTTGTGTTTAATTTATTCCCTGCAAATAAAGAACTGGGGAATATTTTCTTTGAGTCACTTGTTTAAATGTTATAAAAGATGTTTGAATGCAGAGCATGATCTGTTACACTGCAGCTCTTCTGTGTGACTATGTTATAGCAGCAGAATAAAACTGGAAAGTATCCACAGGATGCTCATGTTTTGGTTGTTTTTGTTTTTCTTTATAATTACTAGTGGCTAAGCCTACTTTTTTGTTATATTTTATATTGATTTAATATTTCAGTTCCTCAGAAGTGCTACTCTACAGCCCTCTCTGAGCTTTAAGTACTAACTTTGCTGTTATTTGGACAATACCATAATAGTCAGTGTCTTTTGCCTCAGAGGTTTACAAAGCAATTCATAAGCTTGTATCAGATTATTTCCCTTAGCCAGAGGAAATTTAAGCTAAAATGATAATTCTTTAGCACTGTCTGTAACTTTAAAGTAGCCAGAAACATCACCAGAGAACCACTTAATGCTTTTCACTGAATAACTGTTGTATGAGCATTTTGCAGGATCATGGTCCTGAAAGGTGCCTGCTAGCACAGATCACTAAGCACGTGCAAGCCTGGCTACATACCCAAAACATCTGAAATACAAACAATGACAAATTCTGATAACACTTATCTACGTTATAGTTGAATAGGAGGTTAGGTGCTAGTTTAGTGTAAGTCTGACTGCAGGCAACTTAAAAAAAAAAAAATCCTACTCCCTTTGAAAGTTTATTTCAACCACTAACACATGTAGGTCGGACCACTGAAAGCATTCTTGTGGGGAAGATTCACTGCTTTCCCCTAACCCTGTCATACTTGATTAGCAGTTCAAAGTTTGTATCCCATGCTTTGTTCTCCTAATGCTAACTCCCTGCAGGAAGTTATTTTCATTGCACCTGACACTGGTCTTAAGAAATGTTCATTTAATTTTAAGAATAACAGTCTTCAAAATGGAAACAAAACACTAATGGTGCTTTTAAAATAAAGTACAAATCAGCAGATTGCATCATACTGCCCTAAAGAATGACAGTCCCTCAAAAAAAATAGTTGGTGTGAGGGAGTATTTTTTTTCCTTTTAGCCCAGCTCTCAAAAACTTGGATCAGAACTGAAAGTGAAGTAGTGAGTCTACAACTGAGTGCAGTCCAGTGAAGGAGGTCAGGTGAAAAGGCAGGGCAAGTTATGCAGTATTGCCGTCCTCTTACCCCCAGGACCTCTGGAGATCATCTGGTTTAAGCTGCTACTTGGAACAGGGCCAGCGTGGAGCTAGTTGCTCAGCTGAGTTCTGAACATCAACAACAAGGAT